AGCTTGTAACACTCCAAAGAGAAAGGAAAAATTTTAATAGCATCACATGACCCCTTTAAAATAATCAGAAACTTTTTTTCCCCAGTTCATGCGATGTAAATTTACAGCCAATCACAATCCACCTGACTTTTAGAAGCTGGAGCATTTAAAGCGGCATATTACATAACTGCACGAGCTCAAAGTAAACCGTACATTTTGGCCTATTGGTGCAGACGCTAATATAGTTATTTTTCTTTTTTGTATAATGCCAGATTTGTTTTCAAGGAACAGTTAAAAAAAAATACACAATGGCTCACTCATGTTGTTTTAATTCTGTTATTTCAGTCAAGAACGGCACCAGAACATAAGCTGTGGTTCGTTTTAATATTCGGTTCCAGCGCTTTAAAATAAATCAATTCCAAACTGCACTTGTATTTACAGAATCTTAGAGCTAACATGCCATCTTTTAGCACAGACCCCAATATGCTCCAATAAAGACCACAACATTTTGATAAAACAAAGTATTCAAAATATTCACAATACAAAAATACACAATATTTACAAGGGTGCACAATTCTGAACAACAATTAAACACTTTGGCAGTGCACAGGTTTATAGACTTTTCCTTGCTGCAATATTTTCAAGGCACAATAGCCAGAGCGTTAGCCAGCATCTGAATGGCACAAAGAGGATCCACGATGTCCTTTAATTTGTCACGCCGTAGAACCCAGTCAGGAACAAACCTGAGGGAAATCAGAAGGTTGATGGTATCAGTGTCTTCCCTACAACACAGACTATGGAAAAAATGTTTTATAGATAGTAGATAATTGCATACCTGGCCACAGGTTTTGATTTTCGAGGGGTGGCTTGGAGGAGGAAGCTTCCATTGAGAGAGGTGTTCATTTTCTGCTTGACTTTGTTTCTCTCAGCATCCATCCTGCACTTTCGAAGCGTAAGTCGGTAGGTGCTGCGAATGCGATCCAAAATCTTTGGAAGTTTTCGAACCTCCTGTTTGAACAGAACATTTAAAAATGAATTGCTTTCATGACATTAAAATTGCTACAGGTTCAATACAAGTGGGGCTGTATTGATAGCACTTAAAAAAAAAAAAAACACTTTTATTGAACCCAGTTGCTTAACGCAAAACACCCACCATTGCTCTCCTTTCATCCTGGACTAAGAGGACCAAGAGAAAACAAGCCTTGGTAAAGATGCTGCC